GGTGCTCTTGAGCTTGGTAGATCTCTTGCAGACATTTCATGACCCAATTAGCGCAAAGATAACAATGATTATGGAGTTCTTGATGTTCTCTGAGCTTGGTGGTTTTCTTGCAAATGTTTCATTACCAAACCAGGTAGCATCTTTTTCTCTGCTTCCCTTCTCTTAGGCTGCCATTGGTTGCCGGGTGGCTCAGGTCTTGATGCAATATTGCATTCTAGCCAATCACTATTGGTTTCTGGTGGAGGCCATCTACCTGTACAAACTGCTGATTGGCGCCGTCTTTTCAGAGAAGAATTACTACACGCTGTACCTCTACCTTGGCTGGGGTGAGATGAAATGAGGGAAGAAGATGGCTTGTTCAATGTTGGGGGCCAGGATTCAAATTATTTCAGTATTCCCCATTATTCTCAACGTATTTGAAGGACATCAAGGGAGAGAATCCCCCATTATGTTCAGGATACTGTTGGGGAGGCAGATGGAGATGAGATGTGATCATCCTACCAACCTTTGTCTTCAAGCACTGGAATGAGGTGTTTGCAGATAAGAGTTTGACTCTGTATGTAAATAGCGATGCTGCAACTGGTTGTAGGGACTGGCCATAAGTTCAGTGCCATCGTAATTTCAAACAGTCGCTAAACAAATGGTTATAAGTCAAAGACTACCTGTATCCTTCTCCGTCCTTCCTTTATTTTATTTTTTTTAGTTTTTTTTCTCCTTCCTTCCTTGAGTCAGAATAACAGAAAGCATTTTATTGTGCCATTTGAAAATCTGCAGAACTGATTCTAATTGCAACATTTGCATTCCCTGAACAGTTTCCCCTCTTGAATTGGACCAATTTGATGGCTTACGGAACCTGAGATTTATTTCTTGGGTGCAATCTTTTCAGCACCTAAGAAAACCCAGTAAAAAAAAAAAAAAAAGGAGGCAGGAACCAACTTGTTGGAGAGAGACTGGCCAAGCTAGGGGGAGGAGTCAAGCAGGGAATTAGCCTGGAATCTTAACATAGGCACAAAAAGGCAAGGCCTGACCTTAAATGCCGTTGAATTTTATCTTGCCTAGCCCAGATGCAAACTGCTGGTCTGGGAAGGTTCCTGCGAAATAACCACAAGCTAACTTATTTATTTTATTTGATTTATTTGATTTGTCAATGGCTTACAAGATAATAGGTATAAGTATAAACATGAGTAAGAATACAGGAAATAGGTACGAATAAATGGGGACAATAGGACAGGGACGGGAGGCACGATGGTGCACTTATGCACGCCCCTTACAGACCTCTTAGGAACTCTTCACACATGGGTCTGGTTGTTCTTGTCTGACACAACTTGCTAGCTGATTCCCATGATCATTTTGCCTTTTTTTTTTTTTGAATAGGGACCCCTGTGGTCTTTGTGGTACCCTGGATGGCAGCCAAATACTTGAAGGAAAACACAGAGTGAGTCTGGAGATGCTGGATGGGAACCAATTTTAAGCACTTAAAAAAACTTTGGGGGGGCAGAAGCTCATGTAGATGGTAGGCCTAATGATAATAGACAATGTCACCCCTTTGCTGTCTTCTGGAAAAAAGTACTTTTCCTCCAGATCTGAACCGTTTGTAACAAAGAGTCTTGAAAACATGTCTTAAGGATTTCATAAGATTCCTATCAGAGATGGGAGATAGAAGATTTGGGGTTATTCTAAGGATAGTAGAATTGGGAATGCCATGCTCTACTGAGCAACTTTTTATTTTTAACAACAAACATAAACAAACACAAAAACACAAAACACCAAATAAAAGCTTCTTTCCATTGTACAGTGTGTCGGTTGGTACGTATCTTTTGTGCACAATATCAGCAGTCATTCCCTTTTAATTTTATGTTACATTTCATAATGTATAAAGCGACTGTCCACTTGATATCATACAGTATAATTATTATCCAATAATTATTAGACGATGATTACAAATTCACATCATCCTTTTCGAGCAAGCATCGTCCTTCTGAGCAACTTGAAGTGAGCACTGCAGAGCAAAGTTTGGGCCAAACAGATCTTAGTTCTGCATGTTGTAGGAGTTACAAGTTGGCATGGCATTACCACGATCCCAACGTCTTGAGACCTTAGAAAGGGCACAGAGAAGAATAACCAAGATGATTAGGGAACAGGAAGCTAAATCGTATGATGAATGGTTGAGGAAATTAGGTATTCTAACGAAAGTAGGTAGTCTAACGAGGAGAAGGACCAGGGAGACATTATAATACCAGTCCTTGAAGGGCTGTCACAGAAAAGAAGAGGTTGTCTATTCTCCAAAGCATCTGAGAGCAGAACAAGAAGCAAAGGGTGGAAGATCATTGAAGAGAGATCCAACCTAGAACTAAGGATAACTTTTCTGACGGCGAGAACAATTCATCAATGGAACAGCTTGCCTCCTGGAGTTGTGGGTGCTTGAGGTTTTCAAAAATAGACTGGACAATCATTTATGCAAGATGATATAAGACCGTGAGGTCGAGCCTATGACACGCCTGCCACAGGTGGCACACAGAGCCATTTGTGCCAGCACACAAGCTGCAGGCAAATTTACCTCACTGCGCATGCACTGCGCCCCAGAGCTGATTTTCGGCCAGTTTGAGGCCTTTTTCAGCCTCCCAAAAACTTGAGGAAGGCTTCTGCAGGCTTTGCAGGATGAAAACTGGCCCCGTTTCGTCACTTCCTGTTTTTCCAAACCCTCCCTCAAGCCTTTGGGAGGCCGAAAAAGGCCTCAAACCAGCCGAAAATCAGCTCTGGGGCGCAGTGCAGGTAAGGGGGCAGTGGGTGGGTGGGGATTGCACGCGCATGTGTAGGGGGCATGCATTGCCTTCTGGGCGCTGGCACACGAGCGTGAGTGTACAAGTGCGCACACAATTTTTGGTACAGGAGCCCAAAAAGGTTAGCCACCACTGGTATAAGATCTCCTGTCTTGAGCAGGGGATTGGACTAGACGACCTCCAAGGTCCCTTCCAACCCTATAGCTCTATATTCTATGGATACATTTTTCTGTTCGACGAAAACTACAGGCACTGGATAAAGAACAAGCATTGTGAAATCTGGGTTGATGATTGAGGTCCACCAGGACAAGGGAAAGAATCTGGACTTCCTGACATCCTCCAGGACTTGATGGTGATCAAAGAGGCTTTTCTGTCCATTCACAAGGCAAGCTGTTCAAGAAACTCCTATCGTGGCAATCGATTTCTTTGAAAAACACGATCTTCTAATGTCCCCTTGGACTTAATTTTGGAGTGCTAACTATAAAACAGCCCCAAAGCTCTTCAATCCTCATAGCCAGGAAGACCTGTCAACAGTCTGTTAGAACATTTATCTGTGGTATGGACGGTTGGAATATGGTCTTATTTATGTCTTATGGCTGCCTTATTTTATATACTGCAGGTGCTGGGGAGTTAACGAGAACATGGCTTACTGGTGGATTATCCGTATCCCTATTCTGCTGGCATCAATGGTAAGTGCTACTCCGGTTGGAATGGGAGGGAGATGACAGGATGTGGTGCAATCTTCTAGTTTGAAATATTAGTCTGGGGGCCTTTGAAGAACGTTGACATTAATCTTTGGGGGGGGAAATGCAAATCGTCATCATTTTCTTATGTAACGTTGAATTGATTTGCACCACAAAAACCATGATACTCTTGTTCTAATTGGTTCCAAATGGTAGCATGTAGCATTAAACACACACACACACACACACACACACACACACACCAGTTCATTTAGTGACTGTTCAAAGTTACAACGGCACTGAAAAAAAAGTGACTTATGACTGGTTTTCACATCTATGAAGATTGCAGCATCCCTATGGATATTAATAATTTAACAATTGCAGTGATTCATTGAATAACTATGGCAAGAAAGGTCATTAAATGGGGCAAAATGCACTGAACAAATGTCTCACTTAGCAACAGAAATTTTGGGCTCAGTTAATGGTCGTAAATTGAGGTCATACCTGTATATATAAATATTTTATTGTAGAAAGACCCTTCTTTTTCCTGTTTCAATTGCTCTATTGAAGCTTGAATATCTAATCGATAAGATTTAATGCTACTTCCACCCCTGGAATAAGTTTTGAAAATTGCTTTCTCAAGAGGTCAGCACATAACAAGTATGAAAATATGAAAACATTCCTGATTTCAGCTTTTAAACTTTATTCTGTAATGAAAATATTTCTTTGGAAATCTCAGTCATCTTCCAATGCATGCTTCCTTTTTCTTCCCAGATTAATCTGTTGATTTTCATGCAAATCCTGAAAGTGATCTTGGCTAAGTTACGGGCTAGTCAAAAGGACTACACAGATTATAAATTGCGGTAAGTTGAGATCTCCAGGCCAGCAATGGTGGTTGATTGTGGCTTCCTAACAGAAGGTTGTAGCTAAACCTGCGTTACTGATTCTGACGTCTCTATGCTCTCTTCCAGGTTAGCCAAGGCCACCCTCACACTCATCCCTCTCTTTGGGATTCATGAAGTGGTCTTCATCTTCGCCACGGATGAGCAAACCACGGGAGTCTTGCGCTACATCAAAGTTTTCTTCACACTTTTCCTCAACTCCTTCCAGGTAACTTTCACCTCAGTGCCATTCCAATTCATCTTTCAGATGTTTACAATTGGATCCTAGACATCCTGCATTCACTTATATTCCGATATGGGGAATTTTACTTGTACCAACTTTGCAGGAGGAATCTTTCTGTTTCTTGATAGTCGAGCGGTCAAGGTTCATTCCATGTCCCACGTGTCCCAAGAGTAACCTCTTCAAAAGATACAACCGGTTGATCTTTTCATTTTGAAGAGCTGAAGCGTTCCACTTCCACGCTGTGGTTTTGTACCAAGGCATTCTGGGAGATACCACTGAATATGGCTAACTCGCCCTTTTGTGTGTTTCGGCCTTCAAGACAAATTCAGCCTTCAAGTCAATTTTCCAACAATGGATGAAAATTAATCAAGGAGAGAAGCAACCTGGATTTAAGGAGAAACTTCCAAACAGTGAAGACAATTAACCAGTGGAACAGCTTGCCTTTAGAAGTTGTGGGTGCTCCATCACTGGAGGTTTTTAAAGAGAGGCTGGGCAGTCACATGTCTGAAATAGTATAGGATCACCTACTTGAGCAGGAGGCTGGACTAGAAGACCTCCAAGGTCCCTTTCCAGCTCGATTCCAAGCAACTGCAATTTTCATTTTAGGAAGTTATTTGCCATTGCTTACTTCCTAGGGCCGAGAGGGACTGGTCAAAGACCACCACTGGCTTTGTGCCTGAGACAGGAGTAGAACTCAGAGTCACCTGGTTTCTACAGCCAGGCACCTTTAACCATCTGTTGTGGCCCACTGGTGGCTAGCGGAGCTGGCAGCAGAGTCGGACAGTGAGGAGGTTGGGCAGGAACCTGGGCCAGTCTTAGAGGCTGAGGAAGGCTCGGTCGAGGGCTCTGCATCAGAGGCAGAGATGGGGCCAGGGCAGGCTGGCAGTTATCAGCTGCCTTCAGAGTCGGGGAGCAGTGAGGTGGGGGAGCAGCTAGAGTCAGTTCCCAGCCTGCGCATGCACAGAGCTGCCAAAAGAAAAGAACAATTACGAACTAAGGATCAACGTGAGAGTAAGGCCACAGGTGGACGGTGAATGGCCCCTCCCATAGGGATTAAAATGGGAGCAAAAGGGGAGGGGGACTTTTGCAGGAAACAATTCCTTCGTTGCAGCAGTGTGAAGATCTGCCTGTGCATCTCAGACCCTGTGCCGAGTCCTTCCATATCAGCACTGCGTTTGGAAATATTTACTTGGCAGCTCTCCAAGCTAGATAAGGTCTGTGCTTACAATTAGACCCTTGAAAGGCTGTTTGCCAGGCCTTTGGCTGAATGTGAATGCAAGAAATTCACCTTCGTTTAATAAAAGGGGTTTTGCAGGGTCAAAGAGTCTGCTTAGTGCTTTTGGGGGAAACCAAGGTCAGAACAGCACCGTACCAAGCTGTCTCTGTGTAACTGATCATATAACGCTATAAATCTAGTACCTAGGTTTGCTTTCTCCAACTTGGTGCCCTTCTAATGCACTAGTCTTCCAGTCCCATATATCCCTGGTCCCCCACCAACACGACAGCTGTGCATGCTTGAGATCAAAACATACTGCACATGGAAACCTGAACTGGGGAAGAATGAGAAAAATATAAACAGAAGAGTCCATATGAACATGTCTGGCTCTCAAGTGCATGAAATAATTTTAGAATTAAATCTAAGAGGCAAATTGTGATGTTTTCAGTAAAGCTGTACGGATAGACTGAACGATCATAGTTGTAGAGTTGGAAGGGACTACAATTTCTACAAGTGACACCAAAATGCAATTTCCATAATGCAAGATTTGGGTTAAGTAACAGGATATCAGCTTATACCCCAATTCTGATATCTATCTTAGTCCAGATCTAGTGCATTGCCCAATCACCACAATTTTAAGTATCCTGACAGGTATGTCTAATAAGATAATGTGTTCTGTCTACTACAGGGATTCCTGGTTGCTGTTCTCTACTGCTTTGCCAATAAGGAAGTGAGTATCCCTCCCTTTCTTAACCCATCACTAATTCTGAACAGCTTCAGAGGGTCCCTTCAGGCTATCTCCAACTTTAGATTAAAAAGGCACTCCCAGAGATGGTCTACAACAGTGTTTCCTAACCATGGCAACTTTAAGACATACAGATTTCAACTCCCAATATTCCTTGGTTAGTTTTGTTGGTCTAGATTGGGTGTCAGCAACCGCAGCTCTGGAGCCACAGGAGGCTCTTTCGGCCTTCTGCTGTAGCTCCCTGTTGGGTGATCCCACCACTGACTGGCCCCCCTCGTTGCCCTCCCCTCCCAGTCACTCCTCACCTGGTCTGAGAAGGTAAAATATAAAAAAACAGAAATGAGAGGGAGGGAAAGACCCATTTCCCACAGAAAACACCGGAAGCCACAAAACCTGGGTAGGCGTGGCAGGGGAGTGTGTCATGTGACTGAGTGGGAGTGACATTGAGTTGTCCACACCCACACAGGCTTTGAGGCTGCCGGTGTTTTCTTTTCTGTGGGAAATGGGTCCAAATGTCTCTTTGAGTGTTTAAGGTTGCAGATCCCTGGTCTAGACCAAGAGCAATTAAGAGCATCTTAATTGGCTATGTTTAAAATAAATAAATAAAGGAATCTACAGTGTAGGATTTCAGCTTTACAGTTACCATAAGCTTACAAGAGGAAGCCTAGATATTAATAAAACTCTACATCTTTTCAGATCTAAGTTTTCAGAGAATATTAAGGTTCAGGTAGTGGGCTGGGATTGGAGAGGCCCAGGTTCAGGTGCCCACTCAAACAAGCAGGTGACAATTTTGGGCCAGTCATTCTTGCAATCCATCCGGCCTCACAAAGTGGTTCCTGTGTAATAAGATGGAGACATTTCCATCACATATAAAACCCTATGAAGAAACATGAACTCTCAAACATTCTTCTTGTTGTTCCAGGTGAAATCTGAAATGAAGAAGAAATGGCAATTGTGGAGACTGGACCACCCAGCGGTCAGCTGCAGTTAGTGAAGGAGATGGTATGGAATTTGGCATATCATACAGCAAGAATGTGCAGAAGCTGTTGAGATAGGCCTCGGAACTGCTCCGAATGGATTGTTGCTGCTCTTTAAGGCAATTATGACCTACTCTGGAATGATGGTTTGCTATCTTCACTGTCTGGAGACCAAAATATGGGGAAAGATGCTTGACCCAATATCGGCAGGAGGAGGTTCTGAGGAACATATTGGGACCAACAGCAAAAGGAAATCTTGGAAGCTTTTCCAACAGCGTTGCATGCATATATCATGGACTTTAATGAGCTCAGGATTCAACTTTTATTGATCAGACTTGACTTTCATGACAAGCAGAGGCCTTAATGCTCTTCAGGCATGAAATGAGTTGAGTTCTGCTCTTATGCCTTTCATATAGCAAGATGTGGCGGTCCTAAGAGATGAAAGGACAGGTCTTCATTTTCACTTTTGAACATCCTGGACAAAAGGGGAGGAATCCAGAACATCTTTTCATCAACTGATGTAGGGCACCCAACTCAAGCAATGACCAACTTACTACTTATCTAGCTCTATTCTGGGACCTTCCCTAATATCTACACTGAGATTCAGTGCAGATATCACCTAACTGGGAGATGGTTTGAAAAACGTTAAGGACTTTTCTGTGATTCACAGGCTCAACATTTATCTCCGATTTTTCTTTTCTTTTTATATACGTAAGTGGAATCATGATTGCTGAAAAAAGGACATTTAGCCTCGGCTAAGCCGCAGAAAAGGAAGCTTTATGAAGGAACGATGTACAGAAAGGTTCAGAGTTAAAAAAAAAACCCCACCCCATCTCTAATTTAAAAAGGATACTGGTATCGGACAACCACAGTGCCCAGTTGTCCAAAAGAGGATGAAATTGTAGTGTTTTAAGCCAGCAGAGCAAGAAAGAAGCATACTCACAGTTCCGTATTAAAAAAGGGAAAACCTACATCATTTTTTTTATTTGTAATGCATGCCCCCCCCCCCCCCCCCCCAAAAAAAAAAAAAAACCCAACCTCAATCTATGTTCTGGGAAAAGAATATGGCCAATATGAATGAAACTATTTTGGAATTTCAAAGAAGCATCCCCGCTGATATTGAATCCTGACAAATGTTAGGAAAATAGCACTTCTTGCGAGCTTAGCCCGGCCTGGCATGTTCCTTTGGATTTGAAAGATGTTGGTGCTTATAGACATTTGAACATGTATTAAAAAGAGTGAAAATATATATTTTTCCAGCAGAAGAGATGTGTCAAGAGATCAGGTCTGTCAATGAAATATATTGTGTGAAATCCCTTCCTGGGCTTGGATGCAAATTTGCAGAACTGTCCATAACCAAGCAGCATCTTGAACCATTTCAGCCTTGTTGTGACTTATTCACAGAGGTGATGAATGTTGGATCTGCAAAAATAGAAATCCCTTCCCCACAACCCATATTTGACACAGAGACGCCCAGCAATTTAAAGCCTCTTCCAAACCTCTCTATGCAACACACTCTATGGCAGACTCTCCAAACTTGGTGAATAGAATAGCAGAGTTGGAAGGGACCTCGGAGGCCTTCTAGTCCAACCCCCTGTTTAGGCAGGAAACCCTATAGCATTTCAGACAAATGGTTATCCAATCCCTTCTTTAAAACTTCCAGTGCTGCAGCATTCATAACTTCTGGAGACAAGTTGTTCCACTGATTAATTGTTCTGTCAGGAAATGTCTCCTTAGTTCTGGGTTGCTTCTCTCCTTGATTAGTTTCCACCCATTGCTTCTTGTCCTGCCTTCAGGTGCTTTGGAGAAAAAGCTTGACTCCCTCTTCTTTGTGGCAGCCCCTGAGATATTAGGACACTGCTATTGTGTCTCCCCTGGTCCTTCTCTTCACTAGACTAGCCAAGCCCAGTTCCTGCAACCGTTCTTCGTATGTTTTAGCCTCCAGTCCCCTAATCATCTTTGTTGCTCTTCTCTGCATCCTTTCTAGAGTCTCAACATCTTTTTTACATCATGGCAACCAAAACTGAATGCAGAATTCCAAGTGTGGCCTTACCAAGGCATTATAAAGTGGTACTAACACTTCACGTGATCTTGATTCTATCCCTCTGTTTATGCAGCCTAGAACTGTGTTGGGTTTTTTTGGCAGCTGCTGCACACTGCTGGCTCGTATTTAAATGGTTGTCTATCAGGACTCAAAGATCCCTCTCACAGTTACTACTATGGAATGAGGTGCCACATATACTGCACCTTGCAGCTGATTTCTCTTGCCTAAATGTAGAACCTTATTTTTTTCACCGTTGAATTTCATTTTGTAAGATAGCGCCCAATGCTCAAGTGATACCCAATGGTGTCCTGTCGATTGATTAGTTTACAACTCCTGTTCTTTCAGCTGGGTCATTCGTTCCGATAAATACCTTCCAATGCACTGTGATGATAGGCCAGCAGAGTTTCTGCATATGGCCCCTTCCAGATGTTCTCAAGGAGAGGACAAATTTCCCTTACAGAGCTGGAGGCCACGAGACAGGATGATTGTTTTCAATCGCACGTTTTGGTCTTTACAATACCATTGTTTTATTTGAAAAAAAAGCATCTACTTCAGTATATCAAAAATAGATTGCAATTTTTATTCTACGTCGCTATAAATAGCCAGAGGTCTGGTTTGCATAAGCAAAAAAGGCTCAGGTATAAAAATTTACCTGGGCTGTACCACGTCAGTCTGTATTTGAGCATTTTATGACTGAATCACCCTCTTTACAAAACAGTCCCTGCGCATTTAAGAGTAGCTGGCGTAACAGGAAAAACAAACAAACCATATCCTAGCTAGAAACTCTTACCTCCCCCTTCCTCCAACCTGATGCCATCTATATCATGGTTACCATCTACATTGGCTCCGAGGTCGTTTTGAAACCTCCAGAAGACACCAGGTGGGCAAGGAAGAGGAAGCATGTAAAATCATGTCATCCTTTGAGTTCCTTCTCCAGTTGGAAGTAGTACAGCCATGCCCGAGGTTTAAATTGGTTTCTGTTTCATAAAGGTCTACCTCGCCTTGCCAGATAGATTTTTTTTTTAAAAATCACACTCTTTAATATAAAAGACAAAAGTTGTACAGTATATGATCTGAAGAGAAACCAGACTATAACGATTAAAGATCGAAGTACATTCTTTAAAATATTGTTCTGTTTCTGAGGAGTAGGTTTTATGATGTGCCCTGGAAAATAATACATAATACATTATACACCCAACTCCCTTTAACTATGAGTTAGCAGCCATAAACCCTGGAGTGGTCCCTCAAGCTTTAGAAATACTCACGCAAATACTCACGCAACCACAGGTTCCCCCTCCCCACGAGGCCCATTCCCAATCCTGGCCACGCTCACCCAGCCCTCCGAGATCAAACACAACCCTGATGCAGCCCTCAAGGAAATCAACTCTGACATTTCTGCCTTACATACACTAGGTTTATGCTATTCTTTCTGACCAGGATGTTATCTCTGGCTCTTCAGAACTAATCCCAGAGTCCTTTGTTCTGCCTGAAGATTTTACAACTCCAGTTTTGCTAACGGGAGCCGCCTCATATTGTCAAGTGTGAGACTATCATCTCAATTTGTGTGTTAAAAGGACCCCAAAAGGCAATTTTGTGCCTGCGGAAAAAAAAAAAAGAGAGCATTTCCACATTTTTTTCTTTAAAAAAAAAAATCACATTTGATTGGAGGAGAAAAGAAAGGATAAAATTGAGGGAGGGGAGAATTGCAAACTCTTCCGGCCTCTAGGTCAAAAGAGGATGAAGTCCTTACGTTGAAAGTTTTATTGCCATGATGTTTCCTGTTGTGGACCCAGAGACGAAGGAAGAAGAACCTTAGATATTGACACCTACAAGGCTTGCAAGCACATCTTCCACAACAAGGCACGTGTGAACTTGCTTGCTTGGCACTTCCAAGCTTGAGACAGCTTCTGTTTCTCACTGTTCTTCTGGCTTTGCAGAATCGGACCCGCATTCCTCCTTCAGCACAGCAGGCGTGCCATCCAGAGGATCTGCCCTCCTTCACCACCGATGGCAGCCGCGTATTCCGAGACCCTCGCTGGAGGTGGCCCATGTAGCCGATCCGTCACTTGCACTCTCTTCACTCTTGCAGGCAAACACAGCTTCAGGGTGGAAGGGTCACCCAACGTCAGCATGTCTGCAACACAAGGCATAGGCTTCAGCCAATTTTAGGGACAGGAGCAGTGGTGGTATTTGTTATGATATGTACAGAATAACGCTTGAGTAACAAGGATATGCCCATGGAAACTTTTATGAGAGTAGTTATGAATAATTATTCAGCCACACACAGATACACTGAATGGAGTTAAAGTTTACTTTAAGAAATAGCACAGTCCAAAAAAGGGTCCAGGTCATATACGTTTACAGTCCAAAGAATATCCAATTACAAAGTATTCTTACCGGTTGCCTTCGTCATTTCCAGTAAACAAAAATATCTAAGTATAAGCACAGCATAAATACAACAGAGAATCTTAGATAGCAACAGAATGTCAGATAGAATGTCAGAGAGACAAATTGTCAGAGAAAACAAGCTATGACCTCTAGCTCCCTCTTATGGTAACTTGCAATATAATCAACCAATCGGAATATAGTATAAATCAATACAGTGATTTTGTCTGTACAAACATACATTGTTGGTTTATATATTGCCAACCCAACTAATTGGTGGACAGATTCCTAACAGTATTCTACCGGTTCATCCCGGTTCAACTGAACCGGTAGTAAAAAATGCTACCATTCAACCAATCCTGTATTACTTTTCTTTTTCCTCCCGATGATCAGCTGTGCCAGGATCCCCCTCCCCGTTTTACTGCTTCACCCGGAGGCTTCCCTGAGGCCCAGGAGGCAAAAAAAAACCGGACCATGTGTGTGTGTGTGCTGCAAAAAAAGCCACTCCCACCCAGTCACTTGGCCAAGGCCACCTAGCCACGCCCACCTAGCCACACCCACAGAACCGGTAGTAAAAATATTTGCATCCCACCCCCGGACAGGAGCAAACAAGCCCTGCTATTTGGGGCAGACACCTTGACAAGGCTGAGCAGCCTTTGGAGCTGGGCACACCTCACATCACATGGAGGCTGAAGTTTCCCAAGGCATAAACGGGGATTCATGCGTCGGGAGGGCTGAACCACAAATAAGCCGCAGATGGCTTGGTGTGATGCAGAAACCCAACGTACAGAAAGTTAATCTAAGAACTAGACAACTCATGACTTTTTTTGTCTCAGAGACATTGCCTTACTTAAACAGAAGGGAAGGACCCCCTGAGGGTTTTATTCCATTTGAAAACTGTGACACAATTATGACCCTTTTTTTTTCAGAGTTACGACCTCTGTAGCATCCTCATGGTCAAAATTCAGGTGCTCGGTTCATATTTATGACCGTGGCTGTGTCCCTAGGTCTTGTAATCCTCCTTTTATGACCTTCTGACAAGTCAATGGGGAAGACAGAGTCACTTAACCACCGGGTAATGCTAACTTATCAACTGCAGTGATTCACTTGGGGGCAAAGCTCACAAATGCGTCACATGACAACAGAAACTTTGGACTCAATTGTGGTTGTAAGTCAAGGACTACCTGTAGCAACTGGGAAGTGGTCCAGCTTCTTGCTTCCCAGTATGGTCGACCAACTGTCCCCAAGGCATTCTCTTGGCCTTCAAGAGCACAATGTTTTTACATGCCAACATCACCTCTCAGTCTTGGGGGCTATTTGCTCCTCACTTACCTTCCTCTACTGCTAGGGCTGTTTGCGGACAGCCTTGCCCTTCTCTGGACGATGTAGCCTCTCGAGATTACGGTTGACAGAACAGAGAGTTTCCCCTAGAGAGAGAGAGAACAGCACAGTTGTCACAAGGGTTGGGAAAACCTCCACTATGACAGGCAAGCAAGCTAGCTCAGGGAAGTTGTCCTTTATTCCATTATTGTCAGGTGCAAAGGATCAGCACTGTATGTTAAGTGGGGATTTGGAAAGATTTATTGCTCAAGCCTATATATAAGAATCTAGTTGTGATGACCCGAGGCGTGGCACAAAAATAACAAAGTCAAAAAAATAGATGATTTCCCTTTAATAACTCCAACTTGGCCCCCAATGTCCAATTATCCTCGGCTGGAGATCAAACTCTTCTACAAAGGGAAGAAATGCAGTCCGAAACCAAAGTACAGATAAAATAGAAATTAAAAAAACCAACACAAACCACGCTGAAGTAATTAACACAACAGGCCAGGATAATAAATTGCAGACATCCAAAAGATAAGACGCACACACAGTTGGGAGGACACCAAAACCCAGATAATTCTCGACAAAGATAATGCACGCTTTGCTTCCAGCAACTGCTGTATGCAAATGCCCTTCTTATATTCTGTTCTCCCAGCAGCAACCAATGAAAGGGATCAGGGCCTTTTCTCTCTCGTAAGCCATGTTGCTCCTTTATCCATTCCTCCCTGCATGCCGTAAGATGAAGAGGGGGTGGCCCTGGGTCTTCCTCTGATTGCCCAGCTGGACTGTGCCCTTCCTCCGCGTCTTCCACAGCCATTGGAGTCACACTCCCACTCCCTGTCAACTATTTAATCTCCCCCTCAGAATCCGACTCCAACAAGGGCATGACACTAGTCAACTAAAGTTCAAATCTGAACCAGTGCCAGATAAGGATCAACAGAATTCAAGCAGGACTGAGCTTGAATTGTTTGTGGCAATGTAAGGATTCTAAGCTGATGACATATTTAGCTCTGCCCCCCCTAGCTCTGCCTGCTCTTTTCCTACATCTATTCCCCTTTGATAGCAAGCATTGGGTGTGTCATGCTGCTGCGGTCATGTTGATCAGATCAAGAAGAAGACAAGTGCTCAACAGTCTGTATTAACCTTACCCATTTCCCCCACACATTCCTCCAGAAGAACGGACAGCTCAGGCAGGCTAAGGGCCTTCAAGGTAGGCGACCATCCTTCGGGGCCTAAGATCAAGAAAGAAGTCAGCAGCATTCATTCAAGACAGCGTTGTTCTAAAGATGAGATGGACATGAAAGGAGCCCCTTTCCCAATTTCAGTCAAAGCAGAGCCATGGTTTTTATTTTTAAGAGGGAAACAAAAACAATTCAGCTGGTTTGCCCCAGGAAAACATTAGGACAGCACTAGCACTTAGGTCTTATATACCGCTTCACAGTGCTTTGCAGCTCTCTCTAAGCAGTTTACAAAGTCAGCCTATTGCACTCCAACCACCTGGGTCCTCGTTTTACCCACCCCGGAAGGATGGAAGGCTGACTCAGTGAGACCTGAATTATAGTTGACACTCAGCAGAATTAGCCTGCAATACTGTGCCACCACGTCACCAAGGATGAATAGGAAAAAAGGACAGCTGGTTCCATGATTTTTTTTAAAATTTCTAGTAGTTTTAAATTTCGGGCACTTATATCTTGGAGGACCCTTTGTGGAATATGAAGGTTAACATGCTTGTGAAGAAGACACAGAAGAGGCTGTACTTCCTGAGAATGCTCAAGAAGATCAATCTATTTCAACATCTACTTCTGTCCTACTACTGCAGCACCATTGAGAACGTCCTGACATACGGCATCCTTGCATGGGATGGGAGCAGCTCTGGAGCAGACAAAAAAGCTCTACAGAGAATCATTAAAACTGCCCAGAATATCATCGGGCTCCAGCTACCAGCCCTGGACCACATCTTCGCATCTCGCTGTTTAAGGAAGTCGCACAGCATTCTCAGAGACTCTTCCCATCCTGCTCACAATCTTTGTGAACTGTTGCTTCTGGCAGAAGATATGGAACCATTAAAACTCGGACCACACGTTTTCTGAACAGTTTTTATCCCAGAGCTATAATTGCACTTAACACTGAACTTAAGGACCACCATCAGTGAGCTATTGGACAGCATTACTTGGTCTGTTGTGTGGATGCTTGCGTGTTTTAGGGGGCAGGGAATTTGGTAGGTGGGGCATGTGTTTGGGGATTGTTATGTGTGTATGCGTGTTGAGTCTGGTCTCTGGGTGTTATGTGAATTACGTTGTACGTGTAGACTATGTATATTCGTACAATGACAATAAAGAATTCAAATTTCCAAATTTCAAAGGATGTGAAAGAATGTAGGCAGGAAGTGCGTTCTCAAGAGGGAAGTGATTGATTCCGCAGGAGTAAGAGGCAACTTAGCCCAGATACTATGTGTGAGAGAAAGAGGGTGAAGACAGCCTCTTGGTCATGAACTGCACATCCCACTTACTGGCTCCTAGCTGTGCTCTGATCTCCAATTCCTGGCTGCCTGCCTGCTCCTGGTTGATCCGGGAAGCCAGCTCTACCTGACAGGCCCTTAAAGAGAAACCAGAAGGACATAAAGAGGTTTCTATGAAAGAAAAAAATATCACACACAGAGGCAGAGAAGCAGAAGAAACAGGATTATTCACGGAAGGATTACATGTAGTCCTGGAGTTACAACCATTCATTTAGCAACTGTTTGATATTACAAGGGCACTGGAAAAAGTGACTTAGGATTGGTCCTCACGTTTATGACCATCACAGTCATGTGATCAAAATTGGCAACCAACATGTATTTACAAAAATGGCAGAATCCTGGGATTATGTGAACATCATTCATGGCTTGCCGGCCAGCTTCCGACAAGTAAAGTCAATGGGGGGGAAGATGGATGTGCTTAATAACGGCATGATTCACTTAACAACTGTAGCGATTGGCTTAATAGCCATGGCAAACCAAGGTTGCAAAATCAGGCGCAATTCACTTAACAATTGTCTGGCTTGGCCATGAAAATTCTGGTCCCGATTGCGGTCATAAGTTGAGGAGTATTCTGCCTTCCTATCCCATAGTCCAGGGGTCAGCAACCTGCGGCTCTGGAGCCACATGTGGCTCTTTTGGCCCTCTGCTGCGGCTCCCTGTCGGCTGATCCCACCCCTGGCTGGTCCCTCCCTGCCCCTCCCCATCACTCCTTGCCTGTCCTGAGAGGGTAAAGGTGACGGCCAGGGATGGAGACTTGCTCCCTGTACCAGACCAGGAGGTGACTGGGTGGGAGGGAGTGACCTCGAGTCGGCCACGCCCACCCAGTCACACCGGTTGTTAAAGTATTGGCTCCTGGTGTTTTCTTTTCTGTGGGAAAATGGGTCCAAATGGCTCTCTGAGTGTTTAAGGTTGCAGACTCCTGCCACAGTCCGTGTTTTCTATACAGCAGGAGTCTCCAAACTTGGCAACTTTTAAGACTTGTGGACTCCCAACTGCCGGAATACCTCTGAGGGATTCTGGGAGTTGAAGTCTACAAGTCTTTAAAAGTTGCCAAGTTTGAAGGCCGCCCCCCTGCTATACAGCATTGCTTGCTTCTCGGGCAACGTCCCAAGTGGGACCACTCTTTAAGAAAAGCCACCAGAGCATTCTGCTTTTCTCATTCTTGCCATGACACTGTGGGCACCGGTGCTTGGTAGATAAAGGAAGGGATCTCAAGGGGAGTGAATGGCGTCCCCTTGAAGGCTCACTCACCGTATCTGCTCCAGGAGGATCCCAGCACTTCTGGTGATGCCCTGGACTTCTTGGAGTTGAGCCTGGGCATTGCTCCAGGCCACGTCCTGCTCCATGAGGCAGCTCTCGACCACCGCTCGCAGCTCCTGTTCTTGGCTCACCTGTCCTTTCAGCCCTTTGACTTCCTCACATCTCTGCAAGGAAAGAGAGCAAAAAAGAGACCAGAGTCCAGTGTTTTGTGTCCAACCAGAGCAGGTCCCTTCCAACTCTTGATGATGTTCTATGTCAATCAAAATCTGATGAAGCTGTAACTCTTAACACTAGAATAGAATAGAATAGAATAGAATAGAGTAGAGTAGAGTAGAGTAGAGTAGAGTAGAGTAGAGTAGAGTAGAGTAGAGTAGAGTAGAGTAGAATAGAATAGAATAGAATAGAACAGAATAGAATAGAATAGAATACTTTATTGGCCAAGTGTGATTGGACACACAAGGAATTTGTCTTGGTGTAAATACTCTCAGTATACATAAAGAAAAGGTACATTCGTTAAGAATCAAGAATCATAACGTACAACACTTAATGATAGTCATAGGGTACACTAAATCCACTCCCATCTGGATTTCCTTTTTTCTCTAGAGAAAAAGAACTAAAGGACCAGTATTCCAACCTCACTCTCTCCGTACTTCAGTGACTTAAACCAAGGAGGCACCCAACCAACATGTATGCATTACAACTGGGGTGCAACAGAGCATCAACTCCTTCCGAATGCTCTAGAAGAGTTGGGTGCTTCACCTTGTGAAGCTGGATGGCCAGTTCTTGCATTTCGGCTTCCAGACGGTCGGCATAGGCTAGCTCCAGGGCATCGCTCAGCGGTCGGGCACTGCTGTGCCATCGGGCAATGGCGGACGTCATCTTTCTCTTTGGTCCAAAGAGCCTACGGGGGAAAGGAAGCAGGAATCAGAAGGAAAGCTTCCACCAGAGATGTTTGCAGGTGCAACAAAGCAGCCTCTTGTTGGGTGGACCTATCTGTTCTCCCACAATAGCCATAGCACTTGAGACTTATATACCACTTTATAGTGCTTTACAGCCCTCTAAGCGGTTTACAGCTCCTCATTTTATCAATCCTCAGAAGGATGGAAGGCTGAGTCAACCATGAACCTGGTGAGATTCGAACTGATACAGATACAGATAATCAGAGTTGGAAGGGACCTTGTAGGTTATCTAGTCCAACCCCCCCCCCCCCCC